CCTTTCCCTGTACATGCCCTAGATAGCCGTCCGTTAGGATCTGGGTTGATTAGGGAGGTCACAGCGCCCCTTAAGATGGAGGCGCAGGGGGGTCATGAGGAGACGATTCAGCTCTATCTGATTGACTCTCCTGCGTATCCGGTGGTGCTGGGGCTTCCCTGGTTGATTACCCATGATCCTACTATTTCGTGGCGAGAGAAAGCTCTTAAAGGGTGGTCTGCTCAGTGTGAGGGGCTGTGTCTGGGTGTTTCCATAGGGGCGACCTCGGTGGAAAGTCCGAATCTAATGCCTGCACTGCACATTCCCCCCGAGTATGAGGATTTGACACTGGTGTTTAGTAAGACTAGGGCGGCGCAGCTGCCGCCTCATAGACAGGGGGATTGTGCGATAGATCTCCAGTTAGGAGCAGCCCTCCCGCGGAGCCATGTGTATCCCTTGTCTCAAGAGGAGAGGAAGGCGATGGAAACTTACATCGCCGAGTCTCTGAGACAGGGATACATACGGGCCTCCACTTCACCCGCTTCCTCAAGCTTCTTTTTTGTGAAGAAAAAGGATGGAGGTCTGCGCCCGTGTATTGATTACCGCGGTCTCAATCAGATTACGGTGAAGTACAGCTATCCACTTCCTCTGATTGTGACTATGACGGAATCATTACACGGTGCTCAGTTCTTCACAAAATTGGATCTCAGGAGCGCATATAACTTGGTGCGCATTAGAGAGGGCGATGAATGGAAGACAGCGTTTAGCACGACCTCCGGTCATTACGAGTATCTCGTCATGCCATATGGGTTAATGAATGCTCCCTCAGTCTTCCAATCCTTCGTCGATGAGATTTTCCAGGACATGCAGGGGCAGGGAGTAGTCGTGTACATCGACGATATTCTGGTGCACAGTTCTACCCGAGCAGAGCATGTAGCCCTGGTGCGCCGAGTGTTGAGGAGGCTGTTGGAGCATGACCTATATGTCAAGGCAGAGAAATGTCTGTTCTTTCAGAAGTCGGTCTCCTTTTTGGGTTATCAGTTGTCTGCGTCAGGGGTGAAGATGGAGGTTGACCGGGTGTCAGCTGTGCGTAATTGGCAAACCCCAACCACTGTGAAAGAGGTGCAACAGTTCTTGGGTTTTGCGAATTACTACCGGAGGTTTATCCGGGGTTTTGGACAGGTGGCAGCTCCCATAACGTCTCTGTTGAAGGGGGGTCCGGTGCGCTTGCGGTGGTCAGCTGAGGCAGACAGGGCTTTTGGGAGACTGAAGGACCTGTTTACCTCGGCGCCGGTGTTGGCGCATCCGGATCCCGCTTTACCATTCCAGGTAGAGGTAGACACGTCCGAGGCCGGTATTGGGGCCGTCCTCTCACAACGGTCTGGCACACCACCTAAACTCCGCCCCTGTGCTTTTTATTCTAAGAAACTCAGTCCGGCGGAGCGGAATTATGACGTAGGGGACAGGGAGCTGTTAGCCGTGGTACAGGCCCTAAAGGTGTGGAGGCATTGGCTTGAGGGGGCTCAACAGCCTTTCCTCGTTTTGACTGACCACCGTAACCTGGAATACATCCGGGCAGCTAGGAGACTGAATCCTCGCCAGGCCCGCTGGACTATGTTTCTAGCCCGGTTTGTGTTTAAAATCACTTACATCCCTGGGTCCCAGAACGGGAAGGCAGATGCCCTGTCTCGGCGGTATGACACGGAGGAGAGGTCCGTTGAGCCCACTCCCATACTACCAAAGTCTTGTCTGGTGGCACTGGTGGTATGGGAGGTCGATGCAGAGATCGAGCGGGCGTTACGCACCGACCCAAGTCCTCCACAGTGTCCAGTGGGTCGGACGTACGTTCCGTTCGAGGTACGCGATCGCCTCATTTATTGGGCTCATACGTCCCCCTCCTCTGGACATCCAGGTATCGGCCGGACAGTTCACTGCCTTAGCACTAAGTACTGGTGGCCAACGTTAGCCAGGGATGTGAGGGTTTATGTCTCCTCCTGTTCGGTGTGTGCCCAGTGTAAGGCGCCCAGACATTTGCCCAGGGGTAAGCTACAACCCCTGCCCGTTCCACAACGACCCTGGTCCCACCTCTCGGTGGACTTTGTTACAGACCTTCCCCCCTCACAGGGGAATACTACCATCCTGGTCGTTGTGGATCGGTTTCTCGAAGGCCTGTCGTCTACTTCCCATGCCGGGTCTCCCTACTGCCCTACAGACCGCTGAGGCTCTGTTTACCCATGTCTTCCGGCATTACGGGGTACCCGAGGATATAGTGTCTGATCGAGGCCCCCAGTTCACCTCCAGAGTGTGGAGAGCGTTTATGGAACGGTTGGGGGTTTCGGTGAGCCTTACCTCGGGTTACCACCCGGAGAGTAATGGGCAGGTTGAACGTGTCAACCAGGATGTGGGTAGGTTTCTGAGGTCTTATTGCCAGGGCCGGCCGGAGGAGTGGGCGAGATACGTTCCGTGGGCCGAGATGGCGCAGAACTCTCTCCGCCACTCCTCCACCCAACTAACCCCTTTCCAGTGTGTGTTAGGGTACCAGCCGGTTCTGGCACCTTGGCACGAGAGCCAGATCGAGGCCCCTGCGGTGGATGAGTGGGTGCGGCGCTCGGAGGAGACATGGAACGCTGCCCACGTTCATCTGCAGCGGGCCATCCGTCGGCATAAGACGAGCGCCGATCTCCACCGCAGTGAGGGGCCTGTATACGCACCTGGAGATCGAGTCTGGCTCTCGACCAGAAACCTGCCCCTCCGCCTGCCCTGCCGGAAGCTGGGTCGGCGGTTTGTGGGGCCATTCAAAGTCCTGAGGAGGTTGAACGAGGTGTGTTACAGGTTAGAACTGCCTATTGATTACAGGAATATTAACCCCTCGTTCCATGTGTCTCTCCTCAGGCCGGTGGTAGCTGGTCCACTCCAGGACTATGAGATAGAAGAGACTCCTCCGCCCCCGTTGGGACATCGAGGGGGCTCCGGCGTACACTGTGAGGTCCATCCTTGATTCGAGACGCCGGATGGGGGGTCTCCAATATCTCGTGGAGTGGGAGGGGTACGGCCCGGAGGAGCGGTGCTGGGTGCCGAGGAGGGACATATTAGACCTGTCCCTGCTGACCGAGTTCCATCGGGGTCATCCTACGCGCCCTGCTCCGCGTCGTCCTGGTCGTCCCAGAGGCCGGGATCGGCGCACGGCTGGAGCCGCGCGTCAAGGGGGGGGGTACTGTCACGGTTTCGGCCGAGGCTGCTCCTCCTCCTTGTTCGGGCAGGCTTCGGCAGTCGTCGTCCCCGGAGTACTAGCTGCCACCGTTCGATGTTTCATGTTTGTTTGGTTTTGTCTGTTTGTACACCTGTCCCTTGTTAGTGTTTGATTTGGTTGCCTATTTAGTTTTCGTGTGTGGGGGGCAGGTGTTATGTGGTATTGTTTATTTGTCAAGCTGTTGCTCTTTGGTATTACTCTCAGGATTGTTGTTTTTCCGAGAGTCCGCACTGTGTGCGCTATCGTCATTTTTACGCACTGTGTGTGTTGTGCGTACTTTGTATTTTGCCTCCCGGTTGGGTTGGCTGTTCGCCTGTTTGGTGCTGTTATTTTTGTTACTAAAGTCTGTTGACGAACGCCCGTGTTTCCTGCGCTTGATTCCTCACCGCATCTACACTCAGCTACTGACAGTTGTAAGTTGATCTATATTTCTTTATTTATTTATTTATTTTTTTCTTTAATGTTAATTAGGATACAATGTTATGCAGAGGTGTACTTATAACAATTTGATAGACAAATTATACTATTTACAGTCGTGGCGGAGAGTTGGGGGGCGCGAAATGTTTACTTCTTCCTAGGGAGGGCGTAACAGAAAATAATTGAGAAGCACTGGTGTATATTATTATTTTTGTACAATTTTCATTGTTAGACATAAAAGACTATAAAAAACACCAGGAAATCAGTTCCAAGTGATTTTAATTTTGAAAATCTGTTCCTAAGTATTCCCATGCAAAATAAAGAGAGACGTGATTGTATACAAATGTAGGCAATGTTTTAAATGATTATGTTTTAGTCAAATATTACATCTGTTTGGGATTCCTGAGGTCAATTTGTAGTCTACAAATTATCTGTACTTATATTCCGCCCCCCTACCATCCACTCAATAAATAATCGGCCCGTGGCTGAAGCTAGTTGATGATCCTTGCTGTAGACAATTCACACACCGGCTGTGGGTACACTGAGCACCCAGAATGCAGCAATGGCACCCTACGCCTCCAGATCTCGCACCAATCTGTAGTTGAGCATGTGGCGCATAGACTGGCGCACTGAGAGGCGACAGGGTTATAAGACACACTGTTCGTTTACTGAACAGAGAATGGGAGTAGATAAGCATCTGACATTCTTGAGCACAATATATCTCACACACATCATAACCATTTCATATCAGAATACGCACGTGTGAGAATTCTCTCACAGAGCCGAAACTCCAGCTACTCATGCAGGACTGTTCAGCTCTGTGTAAAAGGGACTAAGAGGTGCAACACCAAAACAGTTCTTTATTTCTCTCTCTCTATTTCTCTCTCTTACACAGAGACACAAACACATGCACACACGCACACACGCACACATACACAGTGCAGCTGTACCCCCATATACATACACAGTAGACACGCACTACAGCTGCACAGTGAGAATGTGTTTATAACGTTTCCTCTTTACTTTGGTAGACTGTCAATTAGACAACAGTGTTATATCATCATGCTATTACAAACAATATTATTCTCACAGATTTGATGAAAAGGAGCCTAAACAATAAACAAAGGCACACACACGCACACACACACACAAACACAAAACACACACTCAATATCCTGTGACAGAGCCACTTTCAGCACCTGACACCTCGAAAACAGGAAAAGCATTTCCGCGGGACACAGATGTGTGTATGTGTGTGTGTGTGTTGGGGGCGGAGCAAGTGAGGGAGCGGTGTTGGCACGGCTATTTAACCTCACCGGGTACAAAACTATTCTCCACTCTGAGAAGAAAAAGAGAAAAGGGCTGGAAAGAACAGAGAGACAGAGAGTAAGCTGGCTCCATCATGTCCTATTATGAGGTACGTTTTCATTCCGTATTTAGACCATGTTAACAAACTTTTATGGACTTTACTGTAACATTTATCTCAGTTTATCATGTATTCACTTATCAGATTGTAGAATCTGTTCTTAGAGTTTTGCACATGTATTTGCACGTTTGCTCAATTATCCCTCTCTTTCTTCCTCTCTCTGAAGCACTTTGTGATAACAGAATCGGATTATGACTACAATGACACGAGTTCCGGTTTTGGTTCTGGCTTGGGTGATTTCGGCACTGGATTTGAGGAGCCGTGTGACCGTGAGCTGCTGAGCCCCAGCGTGCAGCGTGTCTCCCCCGGTGGTGTACGGTTTCATCTTTCACCCTGGGGATTCACTGGGAACGGCCTGGTGGTGTTCGTACTGGGCTGCCAGCGGAAGGCCCGGCTCAGTCTAACGGACCGCTACCGGCTGCATCTCTCTCCGCTGCAGACCTGCTCTTCGTTCTGGCACTGCCCTTCTGGGCTGTGGACGCTGCACTCGGGGACTGGCGCGTCGGAGCGGTCATGTGCGTGGGCGTGCACGTCATCTACACAGTGAACCTGTACGGCAGTGGTGCTGATCCTGGCCTTCATCAGTCTGGACCGCTACCTTGCAGTAGTCAAAGCCACAGAAACCAGCACACACAACAACCCGGCAGCTGCTGGCATGCAGGCTGGTGTACGCTGGCGCCTGGCTGCCTGCTGGTCTCCTGGCCATCCCAGACATGGTGTTCGCTCGGACCCAGGAGCAGGGAGGGGGAGATGGTGTGCACGAGGCTCTACCCGCCGGAGAACGCCCCACTGTGGGTGTCCCTGTTCCACCTGCAGACGGTGCTGGTGGGGCTGGTGGTGCCGGGGCCTGGTGCTGCTGGTGTGTTTATGCGTGATCGTGTCCAGGTGACCCGGGGCCGTGGGGGTCAGCAAAGGAGGCGGTGGGACCATGGCTTCTTTTTTCTCTTCTCCTTGTTC